GGCTAATGACATTCCAAGGACGGGACGTTGAAGCAAGATATGCCCAAAACCACAGATCATATCTAGGAGACGGGCTAGCAGCCTGCCAAAACTGTTCAACGGACACACTGCACACAGCAGCAGAACCCAAAGAACCGTTACCGCCACAACTGACAAACCACAGGTACTTCGAGGATAATGTGTGCGAAGGGATGCCCACAGCATATGTTGATGGCTGTTCCTACAATCAACAGGGCAACTTGAAAGCTGGAGCGGGAGTGGTCTGGCTCAACAATGACCCTTGCCGGCCGCAACAAATCAAATTAGGCCCTCACTCATCGCAATATGCAGAAATTGCAGCCATCCTCATCACCCTACAAGTTGCTGCATCCCACAACATCAAAAGAACTCCTCATCTGTACCGACTCGAACTATGCCCGTCTAAGCTTCACATGACATCTAGCTGGATGGAAACAGAATAGATTCAAGACGGCTATCAACACGCCTGTCAAACATCAGGAACTCTTCTAACGATGGCATGCGAGGCCACTCACGTCAACCAGGACAAGACAAAGATCTCAATGACCAAACTGATGCCAGGACGTGACGGAGTACGTAAAAGGATGCCTGGTGTGTTGCCAGTTCCAACCGGCAAACCCCAACCACCGAGCACCACTGCAACGGAAAGGAATGACCTTCCCATGGTCGGACCTCCAACTAGATTGGGTGGGACCCCTACCACGGTCAACACGGGGTAACAAATACTTCCTCACCGTGGTTTGCGAATTCACAAAGTGGGTAGAGTGTCTCCCAGCTCCCAACGATACAGCAGAAACGACAGCCTGCCTTTTGATGAACCACATCTTCTCAAGGTTCGGACTGCCTTTAAGGGTCAACTCTGAGCGAGGAACCCACTTCACCGCCGAAGTCATGCAAGAAGTGTGGAAACTCCTGGGTATACAGGCCAAGCTCCATATAAGCCATCACCCAATTTCCTCAGGTCAAGTGGAATGAGCCAACAGGACAGTGGTCAGTATGTTGAAGAAGTATGTGTCCTCCAATCAAAAGGATTGGGATATTAAGCTTCCTCTGGTACTGATGGTCGTCAGGGCCACCCCTCACCAGTCTACCGGAGTACCCCCGTTCGAGATGATGACGGGGCGACAAATGACACTACTGTTACACCTGCTGTACCAACCTGGTGACCTGAACCTCGTTACCGCCTATACCACTCACCAATACCTGGAAGAGTGGCATCAACACCTGAGAACAACTTTTGCCTTCACGCAACAACAACTCCAAAGAAGTGCGGAAGGTCGAAAAGCCTACTACGACCAAAAGGCCTCTCACCAGGAACTTAATGTCGGAGACAAAGCATGGCACTACAGCTTCACCCAACCAAGGCAGAACGCTCCCCATCACCTGTCAAAGAAATTCCTACCTCACTGGACAGGACCCCATGAGATTGTGGACAAGCTCTCACCTTATGCCTATCGAATCAAAATCAGACAAGGGCACAGCGAGCTAGTCCTTCGATGGGTCCATCGAAACCAGATAAAGAGGCAGCAGGGCTCCAACTGACAGGAAAAGGGGGAAGATCTAACCAACTGACACAGACCGACAATCTCATACTCTACACCACACCGACATAACTTCTGTCATTTTAGGAAGACACATAGCTATCTTTCTTAAACACAACACCTACATACTCTCCTCCACCGCAATGCTAGGACCAACCTCTAGTAGAGAGGAGGTACTCCGCGCCCGTGACACTCGTTTGTTGTCTCACCTCATTCGGTGTCCGTGTGTCTGTTTGTTTTTTTT